ATATTAGGAGGACTCATCAAGTTTTGAAAATGACCCTTAGGATGGTCGAAACGTTAAATTGATGCGTAATAATAAAAGGTTGGTAAAAAATGGCCTAATTTATTGTAACAAATAAAAAAAAAATATTACTATTTATTATGATACCGTAAGATGGGGTAACTTAGGGACTGAGTTTGAGTCAACTTTAAGACAGCGGATAAAATTTATTGGTGGTGATTCAGTGGTGGATCCACTGTGTTGGTTCAGTCTCAAAAACGTGTTTTGTGTAAGAATGTACTGAGCTATTACCTTGCGGTAGTCTGAGAACCTTAGTTCAATACATTCGTTGTGCAGTTGGGTTTTATTTCCATTGCTTTTTTTCAAAATTCTTGTTTTCATGAAACTTACGCATGTGCCCCAAAGTAGAGCAGTACATGGCTACACAAAGCACGTTTTTGCAGACTGACCCAACACAGTGTATCCACCACGGAATCACCACAAACTAAATTTTACCCGCTGTCCAAAAGTTATCCACTCAGTCCCAAAGTTACCCCATCTCACGGTGGTGATAAACTAAATCCATGATAAACTAAACTAAACACATGATAAACTAAGAAAAAATTTAAACGAAGGAGAATATTTCTATGATCCCTTGAGAAACTCGTATAATAAGTGAAGAATCATTTTGATATTAAAAATCAAAATAAACAAGTATTGTGGACTTGATTTAATTTTCTTGTTTATTAATATATTTTAATAAATAAGAGCAATACAAACCAGGGACTCCCCTCCTCTTGCGCATCAACCCAATATGACTCTCAAGTATTACAATATAAATACGAAACCATAAAAAAATAAATAAAAATACATTTCGGTAATAAACTCTATCATGACGTCAAAACTGACATACCGCCACTCGCTTCTACACATTTATGACGATTTATAAATGATAAAGGTATAAAGGTATGTTTAGACATTTCACAAACTATGAGAAAAACGATTATCTAACTTAACCAACAGGGACATTATTGCTAAACCAGACTATTCATTTTATTTCTCTTAATACCGACATCAGAAAATATCAAAAACAAGAAACAAAAAACTAGCACAGTGAAGCAACTATTAATCTCATTTTGTTGTCCCATAGTTTATGGCATGTCTAAACACAGGCGGTTCTATAGAGGGGGGGAGGCTTTTGGGCTGAAGCTTCCCCCTCCCATATGGTAAAATATAACCATGTTTTATAAAAAAATATATATATTTTAAAAACTATCTCTTAAAGTATTATTGTTGGTGTAATTACATTCAATAGGACTTCAAGAATCACTTAAACAGCATGTCATATAGGTAGGTAGTTTCTTTATTTTTTTCAAATTATTTATTATTATTTAGGTACAAATATTTTTTAAAAACAGGGGGAAAATAGAAACTTGGATAATTTTTAATTGCTAAATAGGTGTGTAATATAGATGGTGCTGACAGTAATGGTTCAGCATTCAGTAAAATAATTTCGGACTAAGACTCTTCTCTGAATAAGTCGGTAAATAAAATTTATTTTATTTTAATTTATTCAATCTACTTAATTAACAACTAATTTTAATTTTTAAAAAAATAGACAAAATATGAGACGAAGAACAAACACTGTTTCAATCTACTATGGTTTTAAATAGTAAAATAAGAGAATAAGGTGAGAATGAAAATAATTGTATGAGATTTTTTTAAAAAATGTATGTAATATCATGCACTATTAATTGTTAAAATTATTGATTGAAATGTGTTAAATTATAGAGATGAATATGGCGCGGGCCTCCGAAAGCATCTCTAGAAATAAAGTAATTTTTAAAATAAATATAGAGACTGTCATGGTAAACAAATATCCTGATCTACTAAAACATATAAAATAGTCTAAAATTACCTGAAAATTAATTATCATTATATATATGGAAAAAAAAGATTTCGGGATGAAGCCCCCTTCCCAAAATTAAATCCTGGATCCGCTAGTGTGTCTAAACGCAGCCTTGTATATTTACTTAAGATTGAAAACTTCAAGATCTATTAGTACTAATATCGTTTGCATTTTAAGAGAAGCTTTGACAGATTCGTTGAGGATGAAACCCTAACCTTACGTTCGTTTCTGAATGAGTCTACCAAAATACCGCCCTAGGGAAATAATTAGATAGAAGGAATATTAACATGAAAATCATGAGGAGTCCAACTTGGTATAATTTATAAGGCTACCGTGTTCTAATAATAGGGCACTTCAGATCATCAGATAACTCGTTGATGCATACGCGGTTTCGCTGGCGTTGTTGTACAGCTTCCGCTCTTTCCAATAGTGTTTCTTTTTTTTTTTTTATTATTACAAAATGAAATAAAAATGATCAAACGATCTGTTTTAGTCAATCTATAAATCTTATAATCACATCTCAAACAATATTAACATACTGAAATTAATAGTTCCAAAACAAAAATAAAAAATAAAATAATGAATTTGAAAACACGCTATCTACTACTACTAAAACAAATATTATACAAAAATATATATCATCTGTCTATTGTTTTTTCAGGAATCAATAACGCTCATAACTAAAAACAGTTTTTCGAATACTGGCATCAAATGCTTAATTACCATACAAACATTGGAGTAAATCTGATATTTGATTTATAAATGTTTGTAAACTCTGGCGTAGCTGCTATAATAGTAACTTAAATAATGCAATTCTAAACAAATTTATAAATTAATGAATTATGCCTAAAACAAGTAACCCAATCCTAATCCGTGAATTTGAATTTAAATAATTCCAGAAAAAGTTCTTTTCCTATCAACCGAAAAAAATTCAAAGGGATAAATTGAAGAACAAAAATAATGTAAAATATTTATTTATTGATCCGAATGTATAAATCATAGTCTCTTATTTTTATTTATTTTTTATATTAAAAAAACCCTACCTCGCTATTTATTACATGCGGGTTGTAGGGGTACAACCAAACGGTAATAATTAGTTGAGGACCGCATGGGTTACGCTTGGTTCACAATCACTTCGGTCATACTTGTTTATGAAATGCCGAAAACAGTTATTCGGATAAACCCGGATGCATTCGGCACTCCATGAACAAGTGTGAAAAAAGTTATAGTTAACCACGAGTAACCCGCGCTGTCCTCGTTTAAATAATTACCACCAAACCTATTCGACTAACTAGAGTGACAAAGTGGAGATTCATTTTGTGGATTCACAAAAATAAATTTTAACCCGCCCAGGCCGGATTCAAACCGGCTTCGTTAGACTCGAAAATGTTTAAGTTTACTTTGACACGCTCAATCATTACAGCCTCAAAGTATCATATTTCTGATCTAAACAAATGAATTAGTTGTTGCAAAAAAACTTTGGAGCAAGATTCATTAAAAACTGCAATAACATTTATTCCTGAGATCTTTTCAACCAGAAAATTTATCTTTCCTCTTTAAAAATATTTGAAACACTCTATAATAAACAAGAGTTGCTCAGACTACAATAAAATCCAGGTTAAACTAACTGTATTTATACTGATGGCTGTAAGTACTTCACATGTGTGTGTATGAACTTCGGTAACGTGCAATGAACGATAGCATCTATTTTTCTAATTATCAATATGTACTAACTAATCTGCTAGTATTGTTATAATTTAAAAAAACTTATATGAAAATATTCTCCTCACATAATGAACTTTTATGCACATACATATACAGGATCACATTGCATAGTTTAAAAAATATTTTCATGTCAACCAAATCAATTTACATTTATTAAAATTTGCATTCGAAAATAATATTGTAGTGTTTTTCGTTTGGGTCCATGGGTACATGGGTCTGGACATTGTGGAATAGCCGGTAATAAGTTAGTTTATCGGGCAATCGAAAAAGCGAGTACTTGTGACATTCTATATACTTTAAACTAAAATCTAACCACTTATGAAATTTAGGTGATAATGACCCAATTGTTGATACCTTAAAAAAAATGTCATTTTATCATATTTCATAACTCGCCAGGATCACTTGGTTCCCCAATGTTTCGTTTCTAATTTATTCGTTTAAAATTTGTCTTCAAAGTAAAATCTCTTTTAAAAAATAGGCATAACACTTCCTAGCAAAAATGAACTATCTAACTATGACATCCGAATAACAGTCTCTCAACTGCTTCCAGCATTGCCAAATGGAACACCCTGAAGAAGAAGACGTAGGTCGAAACGTTGGGAAATATACTAAAAAATTATATGATAATATAATACAATTTATTGACATCAATTAATTTCACAAAAGCCTCTCCTTTAAGGAGAAATTTTAACGGAGTTGGTTACAGCACAGAAAATTTGTTTAAATTTTTGCTTTTTTTTTTAAGTGTTTAAAATAAAACAAAACAGATATCAATTTTTTTTGTAAAATAACAATGTAAGGTCTAAGACAAAAACAAAAGCCATATAGTTAACAGAACAGTCTTGGAAGCACCCGAATATTAAAAAAGACAAACAGAATATGAAAAAACAAAACAAAGCAACTAAATATTTTTTATTTATTTTTTTTTAAGTTTTCAACAACTTGTGTCATTATTGCCTTATTTTCACTGAGGATTAAATTTTATTTTCAAGTTTACAACGTTTCAGAAAAGAAAATAGGTTATCAATTTCATTCGTATTGTCCTGTAAAATGAAGTGTAGATCGTTTGTCAAGTCACAGGAGAGTCTAAATGTTTCGTAAGTTCTGCATTCTGTTGAAATGTGTTTCACTGTCAGAGGAGTCCCACAAGTTTGGCATGTTGGCGAAGAATCACGTGCCATTAGGTATCGAGGGCTAAATATTGTTTATAACTTGTTTCCATCTGCTCTATCCCTAGCGACGAGCCACTAGTTATCACATCGCCAACATATTCTGAATACAATGAAAAGTACTATTAAACGATATAGATATATTATATATTGACCACAACCCCGATCAACTTCTTCTCAGTCTAAAAATAAACTAATCTATTAGCACTATGCAACGGTATGTTTGCTCTTTGGTATATTGTTTGTAACCTTTTCTCGAAAAACCTTCAACTTTTAAATTCATGTAACGAATTTTCTGTCATTAGTTATTATTTTTCTACAGTTTTTGTACCTTAAAATGTTTCCTAAAAGCTCGCAGAGAAGAAATTGGATGTTCAAGGATGAAGCAGAACTGCAAAGTTTACGTGTCGCAGCTAATAAAAAATTCGTTGATGAATTTAAAAGTCGTTTGGATGTGAGTATAATTGTTTCTCGATCAGTTAATATTACTATGTGAATATTTCTATCTCCATTTCATGATTTTGTTTAATTAATCTTAAATAAGTTTGGTATGAATAATGCTGACCAATTTTCTCTTATAGTGTGTTCATGTTATAATCTTTCTTTTCTCAATCTTGTATTTTACAGCCTAATGCCCAACAAGCAATGTTAAGTGCAGAAGAAGAGAAAACTCTACTTAGATTCTATGAATTTCAAATGAGGGATCTTTGTAAGAGATTTGTCCCGCCCATGCCAAAAGCAGTCATTGGCTGTGCATTTAACTATTTTAAAAGGTTCTACTTGAACAATTCAGTCATGAATTATCATCCCAAAGAAATTTTGTAAGTACTGGAGTCATTTTATAAATAATTTATTTTCTTATGAATTACCTCTTGATAGGTCCAATTTTTTTTACAGTTAATATATACGTGTTTTTAGAGATGTTTAGCAAATGCTCTTTAGTTTGTCTTAGTCTGAAAGTGTGTGTCATATTGTTCCAAGATCAAAAAATAAGGAAAACTGTCAGTACCTACCTCATGGGCCCTTTTTGGATAGATAGATAAAATTATTACTTATGTGTGTATTAAGACATCTAAACCTATTATTTATTACTTCAAGTCGATGTGAATTGTTTATACTGTTGATGTGATGTCTAGTTTATTTGATGTGCTTATTTCGGACCTCATTTTTTCTGTCCTGATGTTGCTTGAAATGATAAAATGTTGACTGATATGTTTTTTAACGCTACTTTAGAGACTTTGTGTTCCGAATATGAATAGACACTGATGCAATTTGTGTACATATACAACAGCCAAAATATCAAGGGTCGCTTATTATATGCAATAGCTGATTGGCTGTTGGTATATTCTGTATTTTATTTACATATTAGGCACAATATTGTTCTCCAATGGTTTCTTAATCACTGCTGTTTCCATGGAAATATCCCTCTTATGCAAAATAGAAAAATTGGCAATAGAGTGACCTCAGCTGGTACTAGTAAAGAGGGGGAATGAATCCGGCAAGTGGGCCTCCTGTCCATTTTGCCAACCCGAAATTAGATATACCAATGGAGATTATTTTTCCTCTATCTCAAACCTTTTGGTTTTTCTAATGAAATTTACAAGTGACAATATGGAATTTACATTCAATGGAAGAAGCTTTCTGTTCTAATACTTTTATTCCTAAACAAAGTATGACGGACATATTCTGCTATATACTATAGATTAGTTTATGACGCCTACTTGCACAAATGGCAGGTTTTGCCCCCTACTACTCAGCAGATCTTTAAATGTCTTTTCAGTCTAGAATGTTTAAATCCTCACCCTCTTGGTTCAAGAGAGTGAGAGTTTGTAAAATACATTGTATAGCTTACCTTGAGCCTGCGCAACTCCTCCTTTCCAGCTTTCCACCATGCCCAATCGAGGACTTCTTTGCATTGATATCTGTTCAAGATACTTAATTCAGATTCAGGCCTGATGAGAGGAATCTCCACACCATTTCTTGCAAATTTATTTACATCCTCATTATCAGAAAGCCCTATGGGGCCAGGAACTCAAGCCAGCTGCACCTTCTTTCTACTGGCAAGGGTGTCCAGGGCATACTTGCACTCTCTCACTAGAGTGAAGGTTACCTTGGAGAATTCAGACCTCAGCTGTCATAATCATACCCTATTTATCAGTACACTAAATTTATCAAGAATAGAAGCTTTTGCCAACATAAGGCTGTTGATAGAGTATCCAGAAAATAAAACAGTTTCAGTGTATCCTATAATAAAGAAATAATGGCTAGAAATCATCTGAATAATTTTCTAGTGTTTGGTAAAAATATAAATAATTTTGGGCTGGCAGAAGAATCCTCCTTTTTATTCAGAGAAATGTTGAAAAAATAAAATAATAGTTATAGTTATTGACTGTTAAATTATTTAATTTTGATGTAGTTCTTCCAATATCGAACTTTCCTAATTGGTAGCTCCTATGACGCTCTTCTTTCATTAAACATATTTTTGTTTAATTACGCTTATTTCACACTATGGAGATTGGTATCAAAGAGATAGATATACAGTTGTAAATGGACCATTTACATGAAGTTAAAATCACATGATAGCAACTAATATTGGTAAGTACTATTCCATTCATGTGTGCAACATTTTTGTGTTTTAAAAGTCTGCAATTCTCTGTCAATATTTAATTTAAAAAATCATTAATTTTATTAAAATGTATGTTTATATCAATAATGACTAATTAATTACTCCTATGCAAATGTAGACTGCCTGCATTGTGGGCTAAGATGACTCAAATTACTCTTACAAAATTTAAATGTACAGGATATAGAGATATGGATAGAATTGTTTGATTTTATGTTTTGTAATGAGAAACTCATCAGAGACTGGAATCGTGATAAAAAATTGTTGAAAATGTAATATGTACTTTTGATCAAATTACTTTCATTAATGGGGTGTACCTAAAGATTTGTTTTTACTTTTTTTTGTTAGTCAAAAATCATACAGTATAATTTCATTTATATTGTATTACTAACACTAAAATGTGTTCATGTTCTCATGCTTAAACAAATGCCTAGAAGAATAAACCTTAGGAGACTGTTTCAAGTGACTTATATGACATATGTATTTCTCATACCAACTCTATGTGAACCAGGCCTCACTTTAACAAAAATAAATTAATATTTTTAAAAATATAGTTACTGAATTTTTATCTGGTAACTTTATTATAATTTATGAATGACAAGTATACTATTAGCATCTAATTAAGTGAGAATAAATTTAATAATGCTAATTTAATTATTATTTTAGAGTTACCTGTGTTTATCTTGCTTGCAAAGTGGAAGAATTTAATGTTTCAATAGGTCAGTTTGTTGCTAACATTAAGGGAGATCGAGAAAAGGCAGCAGACATTATTATAAACAACGAACTGCAATTAATGCAACAATTGAATTATCATTTGACTATTCATAATCCTTTTCGACCTGTGGAAGGATTTTTAATTGATATTAAGGTAAACATTTTTTAATAACATTATTTCTTATTCCTTAATTGTTGAAAGATTAATTTAAGTCCAAATTATAAGGAAAGTCAGATATGCATCAAACTATGAAATATATAACTTATAGATAAAGATATTTATATTTGTTTAATACATGCATATTTAAGAACATAGCAAGACAAAAATTAAAGTGTATTGATCCTTAATCCTCTATTTGAAATCTATTTCCAATCACACCTTTGAAATTATTTCTGGTTGTTACAATGATATTTTATTTGTACGAGTATCCACAGTCCTCAGAGAGCATTATAATATCTTATTGGTTTTGTTTCAGGTCAGAAGCAACTTAAAAAATCCTGAAAAACTTAGAGCTGGAATAGATGAGCTACTCGACAAGCTTTATTTAACTGATGCCTGCCTACTATATTCTCCATCACAGATTGCTCTTGCATCAATATTGCACTCTGCTTCTAAAAATCAAGAGAACTTGGATTTATATGTTACACAAACACTGCTTGGTGGTGATCCTAGCCGCCTCACAGATCTAATTGAAGCTGTCCGAAGTATGTTTTAATTATTTCCAATATGAAGTAAAACTTCCCGGCTATAATGCTATTTTTCTTTGGTCCAAGACCCTAATGATGGTTTTCCTATGAAATTTTATTGGTGGAGATCACTAACCACAGGTTCTAATTTCAGAAGAATTTCGTCGGGGGTGTGCTTAATATATAAAGTAATTCATATATTGACCGCACACTCGACTAACTTCTGAAATTTTATTAGTTATAATCATCCAATTTTCCTGTTATCTCTGGATTAAGTTTATGTTGAAGAATTTTCTTTATTTATTACATTATAAATGTGAGATAGGTTAGCTTCAAACCCTTAGTGAGCAACAGTCTTATTGCTTCCGCAAATGTAATTCCTAGGAATTATTTGTTGTTTGGCTAAGATTTTTCAATGAATTAAAAGTTTGTTAATGTTTTTTTAAGTGATAGTTTTTAAATCTTAATACAGATATTCACCTGATTTATCTTTATTGGCTTAGCTATCACCATTAAGATAACATGGCATAAATATATTTTTCTTTTAAGGAAAGATTTTTTAAATTAAAGAGTTTGATAAATCCAATTTATGTTAAAAGGGTTTTACCATGTCTAAAAACATCAATGCTTCAATATTGCAAACCATTTTTTTTTTTTTTTTTAAATGGTTTTGTTTGTACCCATGAAGGGACGATTGTTAAGATCCACTTCAGAAAATACTATTTGTCTGAGCTCAAAACACTCACATTCCAGTAAGTGATCTGATTTTGTGAAACAATGCTCTCTAAGTAGGTATTTTTTTTAAAAATCACAGATTCTGTTAAATGTAAAAAATAAATTGTCGTAAGATCTAAAAAATGTAGAAGAGGAAAAAAATAAAACACAAATACTGTGTCGCCTTAATAAAAAGAAAAGGATAATTATTTCAACCAGTATCATCAATAATGTAGGGTTAAGGATTTTTTCATTTGTGCATTTAAAAAACTCATTTTTGTAGTTTTTCTTATTTTACCGCTTTTAACACTATTTTTTTTCTAGAACCCAGGAAAGCATTATAACTAATTCTACAGCTATAACAAATTTATTCCAACCCAAGAAAATCTTAAACATTAAAGTTGAGATTATTGAGTACTGTTTGTTTCCCTGCTAATCTGTCTCATGTATCCTATGTAACTGATCTACAAACCACCAGCTGTTGTTAGTTTAGTAGGAAGTTTGAAGCTATTTAACAACAGACCAATTAAAATTAAACCTAATTATATAATTTTAGTGAATCTGCCATTTTGCTTCATGATTGTGGATAGCAGTTTAATGATACCAAATAATATGAAGTTTGATCTAGAATGGCTGAACCCCTTTTCTATTAAACAAAGACAAAATATTTAAGTTTTGATCATCTGCCATTTTTCTTTTTAGATGGCAAATGGTAAAACTTCTCAGGGCTCTTTATAAAAACTTTCATCAAAACCAGTTTAGCCATTTTTTACTGGAAAGCACCAAAAAACTTGAAATTTAGTGGAATTCTTTACCTTTTATAAGGGTATATTATTCTAAGTAAAATGAAGCTTGTCCATTCCAGAGCTGCTGTTTTCGAAAATGACAGCTGATTTAAAGAATATTAGGCCAGTAACTTGATGATCGAAATGGGAAATTCATTGTGAAAAATGTGAGAAAAGTATCTATTTTTTAAAATGTATATATGTCGGTTTAGACATGCAAAAAGCAGAATTGCTAACGTTGGCCACCAAGGCAAAACTGATTACAGCCGAAAATGTCAGATGTTTTTTTTATTTTTTCACCTATAACTCCTAAACGATGCATTTGAAGCGAAAATGTACTCTTTAAGAAATTACAGAACATTAAATTTTGTGTTGAAAGAGTACCTAAACCTAATAATTTGTATAAGTGGTATGGTAGAAAACCATGGTCAACCAACTCTGATTTTTACCAAATTTGTCATAAACTAAGACAAATTACTATAAATGGCCCTATAGGTTGGAAATGAGTTCCCCTAAAAGCAAAAACCCATAGAATCAAAGCTGTAGAGTATAAAATTTTACGTTCACCAAGTACCAACAGTTTTGATTTATGTCACTTACTCCGAACGAAATCGATAATCTCCCAATGTTTAGAAATTGGTAATAAAGATATGTGTGATTTTCTATATTTCAATAGTATAGATGTCTATTATAGTGAGTTATTCTTGTTTAGAGTCTGTTACATGCAATATAAGTTTCTATTCCACCTCTCAACAGCGATGGATTTTGAAAAACGATGTGTTTTAAAAGAGTTACCGAATTTAATGATTAAATAATGAATCCCAATTCCAGATATATTATTGACCTAAAATAAAAATTTTAGAACTCAGTTAACGCAAAATTTAATGCTCTACAACTTTGATCTTTGGGTTTTTCCTCTTAGGGAACTTATTTCCAAACTATTGGACCATTTATAGTAATTTGTATCAGTTTTTGACAAATGTGGTCAAATTCAGCATTGGTTGACCGTGACTTTCTACCATATCACTTAACCAAATTATTAAGTTGAGGTGCTCCTTTGACGCACAATTTAACATTCTGTAATTTCTTAACGAGTACATTTTTCACTTTGATGGATCGTTTAGGAGTTATAGGTGAAAAAAAAAAAATATCTGACATTTGCGGTTGTAAAAAATTTTTCCTTTGATGGCCCATGTTAGCATTTTTGTTTTTTACATGTCTAAACCCACATACATATGTTAAAAAAATAAAAGCTTTTCTCTCATTTTTCGCAATGAATTTCCCGTTTCGATCCTCAAGTTACTAGCCTAATATTCTTTAAATCTGCGATTTTTAGGCTCTGGCTCCAAATAACTGGGCTCTTTCGGATTCAGATTGAGTTACTGCAATACATTTTTTAATTCTCAGAATAGTTACATATATTAGGTTAGGTTAAACCCAACATTATATTAATCCATGGCTTGGTAAATCTTAAAATTGTGCATAACTTAAATTATAATTTTAAAAGTAATTAAAAAATTAATGAATCATTACATCTTCATGACTGTAAATATCTGATTAATTATGTTTCAAATAATTGGGAAAGTGTTGGCTGTTTTTTTTTCTTTTATTATAGACTACTTATTTATTTTTTGATTTTGTAAATGTGCTGTGAATTTGCTCTCTGAACTCTTTATAAGTGTCCTTAATTGAGACAGATTGTGATATTTATCAATAAGCACGTAATCTATTATAAACTAAATGTTTTTGTTACTCCATTGTATGTTGAATTAAATAGTTTTAAATTGTTATTTCAAATTTTATACTTTTATTTATACTGTTTCAGAGATAAGATCATCCTGCAAAATAAATGAACCTCCTTCAAGGGAAGTAATAAAAAACCTGGAAAAGCGCTTAGAAGTTTGTAGAAATGAAGAAAACAATCCTGATAGTCAAGTGTTAGTATTTTGTTTCTCATTAGCTTTCTTACTTATAGCCCAACCAATTGTCATTAATGGTTTGAAAAATTAAGGTAGTTAAAACTTTTCAGCTTGTTGTTTGGTTTAGAACAATGGTGAAAAATTCAATTTTTCATATTCCCCCACCATTGGAAGCATTGCTTTTTTAAGAAAAACCTCCTTTTTTTATTTGCTGCATTATTTTTCAATTATCTCTGTAAATAAGGGTTCGACAATTAATATAATGTGTGTGTGTGTGTGTGTGTGTGCGCGCACGCATGCGTGGTGTGTGTTTAAAACTCCTGTCTGTAATACATCCCAAGATTTCTTACATATTAAGATTTTCACAAAAAAAAAAATTAATTTAAGATTCTCTGTTTATTGAGAACAACTAAATAATGAACCTTATGATAAAGTTTGACATAATAATATTTGTTGTAGAAATAATAATTTGTGGTACAGACCCCTTTTTATCAAATTATTAGTATCCGCCTGAAACTTCTTAAATAGCTTCATCTCATTGTAACGTACTACTATTTTATTTACAAAAACATTTGGAATTTGGAGGTCTGCACACTTTGTCTATTTAATTGGGTACTAAAAACTCATGAATAACCATTTGCTTTCCACTTGGATCATAAGATAAATTGATCACAAAATCGATAAAAAAGGTGGGCTACAAAAATATTGGAACGTTTGGATCATTGTTAGGGCAATTTGGGGATGTAGGTCACGCCAAACGTCTCATTATTTTTGAAGACCACCTTTTTTCTCTATTTTGCGTTCAAATTATCTTACAATTAAATGGAAAGCAGATGGGTATTTACAAGTTTTTAGTACTTAATTAAATATGCAAAGTTTGCCAATCTCCAGATTAAAACCGCCCCAATTCTGAGAATTTTCTTAAATAAAATATTTGTAGGTTACTATGAAATGAAGCTATTTTCGAAGTTTCAGACGGATGTTAATAGTTTGATAAAAAGGGATCTGTGCCACGGACTATATATAGCTCAGGATTAAGACAAAATTCATTTTGTAAGATTGTACAGACACTGAGATACAAAGGTTTGAAAAAAAAATGGTTCCGATTCACTTTTCATTCTATACTAAACAAAAATGAATAGAGATATCATTAGTTATTTATGATTTTTTTTTAATTTAAAATACATTAAAAATATCATGGCTCTGGTTTGAGAAATATACTCCTCTATAATTTTTTAAACATACCAAACTGCAATGAGATTACCTTCCACTATATGGTTTAGAGTCCATCCTCCTGAGTAGATGCTGGCCCCTACTATAACACTCCCACCAGCTGACTGCATTGAAGAAAGCACAAACTTCTCAGAAGACTCTTCGTCACCTATGTTCGCTATAAATACAGAAACAAGACTCGTCTGTAAGCATAACAGCATTCCAATTTGTATCATCTAGACGCTCGCTACACCATAATCTGCAGAGTTGCTGGTGATGTACTGTTGCTGCAAGTTATCTGAAAAGAGCATAAGGGAATAAGAACATAATAATAATTGTCAGACTAACAATTATGAATTGTTTAAGTTGATATGGGTCTTGGAAAAACATTAGGCACTTCATTAAGGCTCTGTCGGGCACGATGAAAAGGATGACTTCTATTAGTAATAACAATATTTCATTACTTGGCTTTCTAATGCTCTAGGGTACACTAACAGGTCTCTTATTTGTATTCCCGGTTTCTCTGAATTTAGTTAAGTTCGGGAGATCAAACTCAGGATGACACCAAATGGATCGGCAATATCTACATGTCAGTGTCGTTAACCGCTTATTCTAATGATAATATTGTTAACTTATGGTTCAATATAGTGTCTTCCCATCGCTAAACAGAATATTACTAGATTAAAATTGAGAAATGATTAAATATAACTGTTGGTTTATACAATGAGTATTCTTCATGTTGATTATCCTTTAATTAATAATTTATTAAAAATAAAGAATACTTGATGATTACTTTTTATGTTAATTTTTTTATTTTTATAAATAAAAAATGTATTTAGACAATTATGTTTGTTACTATACATCTTAGATCATAGAAAAACAAGAAATAAAAGCTTTGAAAAAGTTAATTGTAGAATTTTTTTCTGAAAACTTGGGTACGTTTAGGTTACAGGATAGAAATTCACATAATTTTATTAAACAACTTCAGAAGAATTTCAAAAATTTTTCCAATAAACCTCAGCTTAATTAATATTGACATAAAGCTTATAAAACAGAATGGGGTAGCTCAGTGGTAGGGCCCTGAGTTTCCAATGCTCTAGGTCCCAAGTTCAAATCCTGGCCCATGGCAAAAATTATTTATTCTGTTTCATCATCAACCATGGGGTGACCCTGGGATTGGGACACCCAGCCACTTAAAACGATTGAATATGATCTCATTCAAAATCACCTCCTTGCACAACCGTTGACCAAGAAACGGTACTTTCCCTAAATAGTACTGAACCCTTCGTGGGTTGTAGTATTACAAATAAAGCTTATTAAACAAGGAAGTTTTTCTAAAAGTTGGTTATCTGCAGTATAGTCGGATGATGATTAAAAAAAATCGCAAATAATTTATTATTTTTTAAAAAACAGAATTTAGCTCAGTTTAGCCGCTCAAAGTTCCTCTTTAAATGGTTTTAATAATAATAAATTCAATTTTAATTTAAAGTAAATTTTGTGTAGTTTACAATGAAGCAATTGTTAATTACTTAAATTAAATATTTCTTTAGCCATAGCTTCCTATTAAACCAAAAACATGTGTTATGTTTTGGGATGTTGAAATTTATTCGGGATGCCACTGAATAATTATTGAGGATAATTATCCAGAAATGTTTACTAAAATTAATAGTAAAAAATTAGTAAAAGATCTATAATATATTGATTGGTTCATGATTAATTAATTGAATTTCTTTTCTCAAAAGCTGGTTTGTGTTTGCCATGCTTTCTAATTACCAACATTACCTGTGATCATCATGATATTGATAGGTAGCAGAATTAAAATAACTTTTATTAAAAAACTTAATTTATTTCTATGTTTAATAAAGAATAATATACAAATAACATAGAGATCTTACTGTGCAAATACTATATACAATAAACTAAATACATGATTCAAAGAATTTAATTAATGACGGTAAAGGTATGATTTCAGATGGAATCTTTTGAGAATTATTGCCATGAAATATTTTAACATTAGTAAATCTATTGGGAATTATAACTTAGATATGGTGTATGAAGTGATGTAGTTAGTAGGTTTATTCACAGCATCTGTTGATTAAAACTCCTCTTGTCGAGTCAAAGCCCAGATCCAAACTCTGCCAGGAGGCCCATCTCCCCGGTCGTTCTCCTAAGCTGCCTCTTCGGTCCTCAAGGCCGGAAAAAAAACATAAGACCCCTTTTCTTACTTTCTTGGGATATTTTAAACAAATATTCAGGGTGGGGCAAGGAAGGTTTCGATTGGTTCAGAACACCAGGTATACAATTATTTTCACTGGCCTCACCCTAAAGGGAACCAGTTACTTAGCCCGTTACTAGTTACCAGTTACTCTAAGGAACGGCCTTTCCCAGGCCTCTCTCGGTCCTTATGTACCTGCTCGCCACCTTTTGAAGCTGTCCTTTGATGTTAGCAAATGTGTTTGGTGTCAGCATATTTTAACTTCCTTTTTGGCACCTCATAATAATTTCAAAAAATTATTTGCTATGTTCAATACATAGCACAGGACTTACTTTAAAAAAACAACACAAAACCTGGGTTTCTAACTTTTCTACAGAAAATTGACCCATTGTTTATATAAACTTTTTTGCAGCCCCTGAGGTCTGCTATCACTCCCATAAAAATTTCCTTCTACTTACTAGACACCCTGTATAATATATTTTTGGTGCTTCAGTCAATTAGATTTATTGTTACATATCTATTTTCTATTTATTATGTGTATTAAAATGTAAATACATCCTAATATTCTTTATTGAAATCATTGGAACTCTTATGTCTGAAAGTGGATTTAAAAACTGCTGATGATAATTTACATGATCACAGTATAAATTATTAGCTGCTGTTTTTAGTCAAGGATTGGGAGGGCTAACGTTTTCAATCATCTTGTCTATGATATATTGATTTGGATCAGATGATGAGGAGGTAATGGTAGAAAACATGCTTATCAAACTAGACATATCTGTTGTTTGGAATTATGTTGAAGATAATGAATTTAAAACAGTTTCAAAAATTGAAAGCAGTTTCAGCTAAATTTAGGGAGGCTCATTATATTATTTTTACATTTGATCTGATTTTAATCGGTTGGAAAAATTATATGCTCTATTGTAATTGACTTATTGAAGTAAATTAGTCGACTGTTCTACATATCATGGGTGATAAATATTCAGGGCGCAGTCATTATAAAGCTTTTATTAGTGCCGGTGTTTCAACCCAAACATGTGGGTCATCATCAGGGCACTGAAGGAATTCAAGTACTTCATTACTTGAATACCTTCAGTGCCTGAACCACACCCTGACGATGACTCACATGTTTGGGTTGAAACGTCGGCACTAATAAAAACTTTATAATGGGCCTGAATATTTATTCCCATGATATTTTTATTGACAATTGTATATACTAAAATGAAATATTGTGTATGTTGTTACAAGTCTATATGGAATAATTAAATTAAGAAACTTGTTATTGCAGATACAAGGAGAGAATGGCTGAACTTGTAGAGGATGATGAAGAAAGAGCAGCCAGGCGTTATGCAAAAGTTTCTAGAAAGCAAGCTCAAACAGAAGCTCAACTTCTTGGAGTAGCTCCTCTTGATACATAATGTTTTAACTGCTTGTTTACCTTATGTTTCTTGTGAATATGGTGTATTATATGTATTTATATCAACATTATTAAACTTATTATTTTAAGAAATGTCATTTAATAATTCTGGTTAAGTTTTATAGTCCTTGTTAAGTTGCTCCTCTGCAACCGTAAATATACCTGCATTTGTATGTTTTATATAAATTAGTAATTAAATCATTTGATAATAATACCATGAATGTATTAATAACTGTAAAATAATAAAGATTATGTATATGTAGGTTATTGTTTTCTTAACCACAGATTAAGTTTTCATTTGGGTAGAGTTGTCAGACCAGGGATACTTGAGTTATATTTATAAACCATGAACTATAAATATGTAGCCTTAATTTATTTAAATTCAAATAATTTGACCTTTTCTCTTAAAGTCTTTTAGTAATTTTACAAAGAATATATGCAATAGTCAATATAAAGTTATAAATTAGTAACAACAAGAGGCAGAACATAAATGTTAGGTATTATTGGAAAAAATCCAAAAGACACAGCCTCATGTCTTCAAAATGCAGGCAAAGAAAAACCCAACAACGTTTCGCCAATACAGGCATCATTAGAACAGAAAAGAACAGCTAATCGAACATCACTCCATGAAACCCAATCGCATACTATATGAGAGTTATCTGTTCTTTTCTGTCCTGATGATGCCTGAATTGGTGAAACGTTGAAGGGTTTTTCTTTGTCTGCATTTTGGAGACCTGAGGCTATTTGGTTTGGAATTTTTCCAATAATAACCTAGTCAGTATAAATTTATTATTTCGAGGAACACTTTAAAAAATCCTTTATACTTCACAAAACTTTATTTCATTATGACATCTGAAAAGGTTTCGGGCCTCTTCATCCATTTTCAAGTCTTAGAATCATATTTTAGGATTGTCTAAAATAATTTAAAATTCATTCAAATGTAAAAAGGTGGAAAGAGCTCTTTACCTTCAGTAATTCAAGAAAGATGGTCTTTCAAAAACAAATTTTTTTTTTAAAACATTAAATCACTATTTTCGAGAATGCTTGTCATTTATTTATTTGTTAGGGAAATGTTTGTTATTTTTCTGTGACAAAACTACTCAGTTCGCGCCTCTTGTCCCGAAACTTAAAAATTAGAATCTATAAAACAATTATCTTGCCTACAGTTCTTTATGGATGCGAAACTTGGCCGCTTACATTAAGGGATGAGCAACGTCTTAAGGTTTTTGAAAATAAAGTATTGCTTAGAATATTCGGACCGAAGAAGGATAAGTTAACCAGAGAGTTCAGACGGTTACACAACGCCGAATTGCGTGAGCTGTATCCGGGTAATATAAGTGAGGTAATTTCATCGCGGCGAATCAAATGGGCTTGTAAAGTTGTTGGGCTTAGTAACGAGAGAATTCCTAAAAGGTTAATATTTGCTGTGCCGAATGGTAAGCGTCCGAGGGGTAGACCGAAGCGAAGGTGGGAAGATTGCATTAAAGCCGATCTGAAGGGACTGGGTTTGGACGGCGAACGGTGGAGGGAGGTGTGTAACAAGCGATTGGTGGTGTCGGCATCGAACCTTCGGGTTCGCTAAGCCTTATTATTATTATTAAATCACTATTAGAATAAAATCCCGAAATGGTGACTTTATTTTCTTGTCTTCCCCTTCCTTGCCTTTAAGGCTATACCAGTTTTTTTCCGGACCAGCGGAGAGGGCGGAAGATTAATGCCCTGGGGTTAATTCGTCACCAGGATGAGAACTCCTAATTATTTTATCATATTACCTTGCTAAGCAGGTTACCAGGCAATGCGTGTTCAGTACATGCGTTAGCCCACTTAGCCCCCAAACTGGTAATGTATCGTTTGTGTTGAGACTTCTTCAAATAATGCAATTTTGATGTACTTGTTTCCTTTTCAATGGTTGCCATTTTGAAACGTCCCCACTTTGAATTGGATGATCGCAACAAATTGAATGATGAAGATAGACATTGAAAGGTATATATCTAAAAGTTGTTTTCAATAAAGTCACAAAATTTCGACTCTTTGACTGTTAAAGCTGTCGCTTACATTATTCTCAAGACTTGACTCTCTTCCCCACGCTTTATGCAATGGTGTTAGTTGGTTGTAGCAATTATAGTTCACACAAATAAACTTTTTAACAATCAACTCAAAGATATGATGCAATGAGTAACCAGTTGGCTTTAATATCCTACATTAAGCCAATGACCTTCAGGGATTTCGTGGATGCATTCTCCTGAATAAAATGCTTGGGGTATGGGCACACTACAGCATCATGTACTCTTCGGGACAAGATTTGTAGAAGGTTAGTGGTCACATAGCAAAGTTGTGCCCAAGGAAGAAGGAAAAAGCAGACCCAACTAGTGCAAATTGTTCTCGTGAAGATGCTCCATTAAACCTGACCAAACACAAGGCAGGAGAACGAAACTGCCCTGGACATATCAAGAGATCACGCGAAGAACTGAGTAGGAATATGATCTCCATTATTCAGATCAATATGATCAGACGGCATATTGTAGCAGATGAGCTGCGAGCTCTCATTCAACACTACGATATCATGGGGGTTTAGGAACCGAGCTGCCGTGGGAGGAAGGTTGTTGTATTTTGTCTCACATCGAGAGTTATTGCTCTAGGGAGTTGAGAAAGGAGGACTAGAGTTCCAATAATAATCACTAACCCAAATCTCGATGTGATGAGTCTTGAGCAGTATACTAATGCTGACAGCATAGCATGCTACATCAGATAGGGCAGTATCCCCTTCAACCTTGCTTCGGTATACTCACCCAAAGAAAGTGATATAGGAGAGCGTATATCCGCCATGGAAGCGATCACTGGAAGATAAAGAAATATGATCATCTGTTCGGACACCAACTCCTGCAGCACGGTCTGGGGTTCCAATTGAACAGACCAGAGGGGTATCAGACTTGGAGGATTCATTGCAAGAGGCCAACTGGTAGTGCTTAATGATCCGTCTGCCACTCAAACTTTCTTTGGACCACAGAGACAAAGTTGGATAGATGTTATGTTGGCCTCCCCTATGCTGATAGGACACATTGTCATTGTCGACTGTATCCTCATATCGGAAACGAGCTCCGACCACAACGCAAATGCATCAGATCGCAAGATGCTCCCACGGTATAGACAGAGGATATGTGACCCGAAGAGAAGACTGGAGTTTCTTCCGGTCAGCGATGGAGGGAAAGTTAATGGATGAAGAGTGGGACCCCGCGGATTTTGACAATACGGATTACCTTGAGACCGCCGAACATGTGGTCGTCAAATGCACTGCCTATGAGGCTATGAGCTAAGCTCGTGAGAGAGAGGTGGGAATATATACGCTGACAGAGAGAGTGTTCCCCCAGCTAATGAGCAGAGAGAATTACCCACATTGTAGGGAATTCGTATACAGGTGGAAAGATGCTGTAGGCCGTATACATTTTAATCTGGGAAGAAGAGAAGGAAGTTAAGACAAGCTACAGCTGCTTCGAGGACCGGCTTCAGGTGGAAGAATGGAGAAAAAGAAATGCGTGGGCTTGTGCACACAAACTAGTCTACACCTCATAAATAACAATGTTAACAAAATTTTAGTTAAATAGACCTATACTGCCAGCAGTGGCACATACATACTGCTGTTACAACCGTATTGCCTGTAAGGTAAGGCAGGCAGAAAAAAACAAAAACATTTGTTTTACCATTTATAAAGTTAGAATTACGTAAATAATTAGTATATATTTTGAAGTATAAGCTTCATATAATTTATATGCCTTTTTTCTTTTTCTGAATTTCTATATGTAACATTTGTGAATGTTGAGTAATTATTGTTGAATCATGGCTCATTTTTTTATGTATGTAGTTGCATTATTTGGACCTGGATTTAATAATCTGGTCTTTATGGATGAATTACAAACGGTTCCACACACTCAAACTAGGTTCCACTATAATAAGACTTTACGATAAATGTTACTATATTTTTTAACGTATTCCAGCAATCATCTTATTATACTACTCCGGTCTTTAAAAAACTATGTACCTTGGAATACATTCTTAAATACGCAATAAAGGATTCGACAGGAATCTTCTAGCTTCGCCTTGGGAATATCTAATTCACGGTTTTGTATCACTATGGCTCGTTTCTCTATGGATAGAAATTGCATGTTTGTATTCAATCACGTTTCGGGAATTATTATGTTTTCTGGAGGTTTCACTTCCTAAAATAATGTTTTTCGCGGTCTTTTTATCATAGATTATAGTTGATTTACTTTATAACTTCACTCACTGTAAGTAGTTATGTTCGTAATCTATTTTTGAATTGATAATCCTTATGAAGTCCCAAGTAAATTACCAGGGTGTTCCCAATAAATTAGACAAGAAACAGAAACTCAAAAAATCTGCTGCTGCTGTTTCAAAATCAAAGCTAGCTATAAAAAATAAAGTGTCTAAAGAATCGAATGATGTTTCTGTAAAGTTTTCCAGTATAAAACACAGGAATTGTACTGGTGTTGATAACTGGAAAAAGTTCCTTGAAAGTAAGGGCATGAGTTTGAAGGTCCAGAATGATAATATTAACAAGACCAATGATCATAAAAGTCGGAAAGGCAAGAAAATTACAAAAGCTGTTGCTATTGATTGTGAAATGGTTGGCATAGGGGAAGATGGAGAAGGCAACATGCTGGCTAGGATATCTTTAGTTAATAGTTATGGTGACTGTATCTATGACAAGTATGTGAAACCTAGAGAAGAAGTTGTTGATTACAGAACACAAGTAAGTGGTATAAGACCTGAAGACTTAAAGACTGCTGAGGAATTTGATGTCGTTCAAAAAGAAGTAGCTGATATTTTGAAAAATCGAATATTGGTTGGTCATGCTCTAAAAAATGATCTTTCTGTACTTTTTTTGACACACCCTAGGTACGCTATCAGAGATACAGCAAGGTTTTTTTGCAAAAAAAATAAGAGAACTCCATCTTTAAAAAATTTAGCGGCTGAGTATTTACAGACAACTATTCAAGAAGGTGAACATAGTTCTGTTCAAGATGCTCAAGCTGCCATGCAATTATATAACTTGTATAGAAAATATTGGGAATCAGGAAAAGGAAATAAATCAAAGAGAAGAATTGACAATTGTGTATCAGATAATGTTACAGACGAAAAGGAACGGTAAGTTTTATTCAAACTTTAATCATGTAGTTAATTATTTTTACGAATGTGCTAGTTCACAAGTGCTTTATCTGGATTGGTGGGAAACCAAGATCTCTTTGGTAATAGTTGTACTGGAACAGCCGAATGTTTTTGATAATACTACTTAACTCCTTAGTAAAAAGGCGCCTCTTTCCTCCCTACCACCTGACTGATCTCTTCTGAATATTTACCGTAAACTTATTTTTCTTTATCAAGGTTCTAAGTTAGTTTAGGTTAAGTTTCATTCATTTTATTCTCCAATACCAAAATATTTCTTATTGAAATATGTACATTTATAAATGCAAAGTGTGCTAGAAGTATAAGATGAGTATAAAGTGACCTTGGCCCACAGCCATCCAGACAGAGCTCTTGTGAACTATTATTGTATCACCGAAAGAAGTAAAGTTACATTTGTAAAGAGCATGGTGATTTCATTTTATGAAATGTTATGTAATGAATTTTTGCAATAAAGTGTCAATTAAGTTTTTCTTCATTCATTTTTTAGTTGATCATATTTTTTAATGTTTCATTTATTTTGGATATTATTTCTGGGAATTAGTCGAGACTGCTTAACGGTCCCTTATAAGGACAATATATTGATCATGTTTAGCGGTACATTGATAGAGTACTCCTTCTTGTTACCTACAAGATAATATTAATGAAACAACTAATATCTTAGGTCTTTTTTTTTTTTTTTTAAATAGGATGTGATAAATAAAAATATATATAATTTAAGTAACTAACAATTTCTTCACAATAAAGTAGAAAAAATTTTCCTCAAATGTTAGTAGATCTTGTCTTTGTTTGAACCTGGAGTCTACGAACTATGTTCTGCGGTATCTGGTATAGTTTCTTTAATTATATGGAAAACTTTTAAATCTATTTAAAAAATATGAAATTAAGTAAATCACTCAAACAGGAGGTTACTGCAACATTTATTTCATGAGTTGTTTCTTTTAAAAAGCTCTTTACACAACTGAAGTGTCATTTATATAACAAGGTTTTTTTTTTTTTTTGTAGATATGTTAATTTACAATATTGAGATATTATATTGAATTGGTATTGATGAAAACAAAAAACCGTATTTCTGTAGGAGAGTTTTTTTTCTGAAGAAGCATTATTTACAAGCAAGGAATGGTTTATTTTATTTCAGAAATAGCCATCATTTGACAAATGGAAATCTGCATGGCACAGTACATAGATAACATCAATACCAACAAAATATAAAAATAAACATTTCTGAAAAAATTAAACCCTGCAGTTGCTTAAATTATTTTCATGAAGATGGAAATAAATAATAATAATTCAATTAATAAATAAACAATATTGTCACTTATAAATGTTATATATACATAAAAATTTATATATTGTGATATATACAGTCCCAGGCGAAACAATGTTGTGCGGTCTTTTGGGTGGGTTACTGACGGAGAGGAGGAGCTGGTGTGCCTCCCTCTTTCCTTCTCAATTGACTTTGCAGCAAATTGGAAAGCAATAGCCTAAGATGTGCAAAGTGCTGGTTCAGGCAGCCAAAGGTTGGACAACCGAACTTTTTTCCATTTTTTTTTTATTCCAAAAATATCTACAACCAAATCTATTTCAAATACAGTGCAATGGTTGAAACCCATTTCATGGGTCTATCAAAAAATAAATTTCAGCCAACCAAGATTAGATTCGAACGAGAGCAGCTACACTTCAAAATGCTAAAGCAGGCAGTGCTCTTACATGCTTTGTCCTTGTGGCCTCTACTAAACTATTAACTCTCTGAACTTCATCTATATACTATTTTATGAACTCCTTTGAAATGTGTGTTTAACTAGGTTTTTATAGTTTAGAAAAGATCGTTAGCTCTAATAGATGGTTCTCTTGAATCTCATTATCAAAAAGGTTGGCAACCATCTTGAACCTTCTTATTTTTATAACTTTTGATGTAGATAAAATCATTCCTGTCTTTATATATTATTTCTCAAAGGTGTTTATTTGTCAGTACTCCATATCTTTGTTTATTCTCCATCAAATAAAATCAATTAGCCATCATTTCGAAGATTATCTTTTCCTCCAGCTGTACAACATATGCACATCATGCACAAAATTTAGAAAAAAGTTATGAACAAAAGAAAACTTTATTTATTTAGGAAACTACAAAATGTATACAATTTATGGTGGATTTTATCTACAACGATTATGAAGGTTTCCAAATTTCTTACAAAGTATTGGGTTGGCAAATAAGTCCTTTCACTTCGACTATGGCTGTATGGTGTATGGTGGACTCTCAGGAGAACTCGAAGCTAATCTTAAACGTCTAATGAATTGCTCAATACTCTTTATCTTTGGGATCTCGAGAAATACGCATATTACCCAGTTTTACACCGACTTGAAGTGGCTTTATCCATCCTACTGCCGTCAGTATTTCCTTGCTACCTTCATATACCAGGCTATTAGAACTCGGGGATCCTCCTATATTCTACAGGTCCTACAATTCAAATGCTCCTTTCAATCCTGTCCCATCAGATCCTGTATGCTTGATCTCTATCCTCCTCCCTAACGAACTGCTGCATTTGACAAATCCTTTTTAATTCAAACCATCTCCCTCTGGAATTCTATTCCCCAAGATATTCGACACGCTAAGTCAGTATCATCTTTCAAATCTCTCCTCTTCAAACACCTATTCCATTCCCAATCCGTTTGATCACAAAATGTACTTAAAAATCTAAGTTGTAAGAATCTCAAAGTACCCCCAGCTAATTTGATTATTTTGTGGTTTATTGAGATTTTGTGTACTTATTTTACTTTCTCTGTATCTTTATTTTATTACTAACCATCCTGTAAATATTTAATTGTATTTTATGGACACACCAGAATATTAATATATATTCTGTACTTGTAACTTGTTCTAAAGGGGCACTAGTCCCAGAATAATAAATTATTTTTATTCATTCTTATCTGATGAATTAATCCCTCTTGTTGAAAATAGCTTAGTATTGTGTTTACTATATGGAATATGTGGATATGGAAGAAAATATCATTCATTATCGGCGTATTTTGTTGTATTATTTTAAAAAAGGTAAGCGTGCTCGAGAAGCTTATAGAAAAATTCGCAGTGTTTATGAGGATGATGCCTTTACCGAATGCACCTGTTAAAATTGGTTTGCCAAATTTCATTCAGGAAATTTTACATCAATGATTCTCAACGGTCTGGTCGCCCACATGAAATTGAAACGAGCAATGTTAAGGCCATTGTTAATCAAAATCCCACCCCATCGGTTCGAGAAATGTCTATGGCCCTAAATGTGTTACACACAAGTGAAGAAAACCATTTGCACAAGCTCGGCTATGTTTCCAGGCTTAATGTTTGGGTTCCTCACATGATTTTTTTTTTTTTAATTACAAAAGATGTTATAACTTCAACACAACTTTAGCTCTCTACAAAAAATTTAGAGCCTCATAAACTACACAAAATGACATCAACAGAACCTTCGTGAACCTAAGCCATTTTTTTGTATTTATTCCGTTTGTAGACGTTAAATAAAAAACCCATTCCTACGGCTTTGAAGAGAAATAATTCAGCTTTCAAAACGGATATAGTAACATCAAATTTGGAGAAGATCCTGAAGAGTTATGAATGATCGGAAGGGTGTCGCGTTCCACCAAGACAATGCTAGGCTCCACACTTCATTGGTCACTCGCAATAAATTATTGAGCCATGGATGAGACCTTTTGTCCCACCCTCTCTATTCACCAGACCTAGCTCCAAGTGACAACCACTTATTCCGTTCTCTACAGAACTCCATGAATGAAAAGAAATTCCTGCATGAAGGGGACATATAAAACCTCTTGGATCAGTTTTTTAACAATAAACTCCAGACATTCTATGAACATAGCATTACGCAATTAGTGGAAAGATGGGAAAAAGTCCTATTAAATAATGGTCAATATATTGTAGATTAAAATGAATTTTATGTCTATAATACATTGAGTTTTATTTCGCCATGAAAAACCGAAAGAACTTAGTTGCCAATCCAATAAACATTTTAAAAATCTAAATCTTGATGATTTTTTAAAACGATATAACCATTTGTAATTTGTACACGTTTAGGGCTATTATTTTTAATCAAAATTAATTCCTTCCAGGCACCCATACATTGCATTTACTTATTTCCATATTATATTGCTATTTGTTTACTAACCAATATAATGTGCTAATTATTTGGAGAAGCCATCCAGTATTAAGTTTTAAAAATAATGTATATCATTTTAATATATGATTATTACTTAACAATCTATAAATAACAAATACCTGCAAAACTCTCTAAGATATATGTATTTATTTTTTTCAGGGAAATCTAAAACTGAGTTAAACAATTCTGCAAAAATCAAGTAATTAATCAAGAGGAGAAACTTGAAATTTATAGTTGTTATCCTGAACATTAAATTTTAATACTGTTAATAACATTTTAATTAATCATAAATATACTGTAAATAATCTTTTATCTGCCATTGTATTTACTTTGTATAAATAACAGAACTTTTTGTAAGTCTGTAAAAGGTCATATTCTGATGTATATAATATACATGTAAGATTTGTTGATAAAGCAAATATTTTATAAGAAATTTTGTTATGAAAATACTATAAATACTAGTAATATTATAAATAAAAACTGGAGACAGATATAGATTTTTTTAAGAAGTCAATTTTGTTTATTATTTGAAACTTAATTAAGAGCCATATTTTTGCCCAAGCAAGAAGACACAAAGGTTATGTTGTCCGCTAAAAGCTATGTAACAATTTTTTGAGCGACGGCTGGGTCAATTTTTAAGTTTGAAGACTCAAATTGTTCAGTGAGATCCTCTAAGTGTTTTGAAAGCAAAGCGACATGAGTATTGTGTTTGGGTCGTATGCTAAATGGTATGTAATAATTTTTTTAATGAACAGCTGGATCAACTTCTACGTTTGGTGGCTCAAATTATTCGATGAAATTCCCTTTAGTGTTTGAAAAATTTGAACTGAAAACAATGACCGATGGTTAAATAATATGTTTCATAAAATAAAATACAAATTCTGGAAGTTTTGTAACTATTTTTTGAGCAAATGGCTGGAGTGTACTTAAGTTTGGTATATTAAATTATTTGGTTACATCCCATGAATGTTTAGAAAGAATTCTGACAAATTAGTGTATATATAAAGTGTGTTCAATCAATCCGCGAAAATGTATAAAACGGTTTTATTTAGCAGATGGATTCACTGATTTTTAACTTTAACGGCTGTAATTACTCAGTGAGATCAGGTGAATATTTGGATACAATTTGAGCACAAAATACTGGAAAAAAATATTGTAGTTTAAGTATTTTGATTAGCCGCCCCGGATGGGGGAGCTAGTCAGGATGCTCGGAGGAGGCAGCCCCTCTACCTGACTCGGGGGCAGTGGGCTGATAACCCACCCCCCCTAAAGTACCTTATTACGAAACCTCAAAGAGAAGAAGCCGGACTGAATTACGGTAACAGACCCAGGAAACGCCTAAATGACCTAAGAATTGGATTTTGGAACATTTTATCATTACATAGACTAGGAGCACTTCGTGCGCTCCTTGCAGAAGTGGACACATACAGAATCGACATAGCAGCTATCCAAAAGGTCCGATGGATAGGACAGGGAATTATGGAGAAGAAGTACCATACACTCTACTATAGCTGCCATGAAAAGCATCACATCTTCGGCACCGGATTTGTTGTGAGAGGCAGAGCTCAACAGTTGGTGATGCGATTTACTCCCATTAACCAAAGGTTATGCTACATTCGGCTTAGAGGAAAATTTTTTAATTTCTCTCTAATCAACTGCCATGCCCCAACAGAGGTGTCACCTGAGGAGGATAAGGAAGCATTTTATGAAGAACTTGGACGCGTGACAGAAAGCTGCCCCAAAAATGATGTTAAAATCATTCTTGGTGACTTTAACGCACAAGTTGGTAAGGAGGTGGCACTCATGCCGACCATAGGAACCCACAGCTTGCATGAGACCAGTAATGATAATGGGCTACGGATGGTGAACTTTGCTACATTGCACGGACTGGTTGTTGGAACAACTCTTTTTCCTCGAAAGAATATCCACAAAGCAACATGGATCTCTCCAAATGGGCAAACAGCATCACAGATAGACCATGTACTCATTAGTGCCCGTCACAAGTCCAACATGATAAATGCAAGATCTTATAGAGGTGCAAATATGGACACGGATCACTGTTTGAGCATTGCCGAGGTCAGATCACGAATTTCGCTGATTAAAAACCACTACCAACGACCAAAGAAGAAGATTGATGTGGTTAAACTTAAGGACTCAGACCACCAATATTCGTATCAACAAGCTGTGGAGACGAAACTTAACGAAGAAGTAATTAATGACAGCTCTATGGTCGATGAACAGTGGAAGAGATGCAGCAACGCTTCTTGGTTTTGCTGATGATATTGACATAGTAGGTAGGTCTGAACGGGCTCTCAGAGAAGCGTTTATAAGCCTTGAAGCAGCTGCAAGACCACTTGGTCTAGAAGTCAACGAGAGGAAAACTAAGTATATGAGAGTTGGCGGTGAGGTTGATCTGAACTCTCCATTTGAGGTAGGTTCTTTTAAGTTTGAGAGAGTGAAAAGTTTTATATACCTTGGGTCTGAAATCAATAGCAAGAATGACATGGCTCAAGAAATACAAAGAAGGATCACGGCTGCCAATAGATGTGTCTTTGGACTTGGCCGACACTTAAGAAGTAGGTACCTCTCAAAGAAGACCAAGCTGATCATATACAAGACCCTTGTTCGGCCTGTTTTGACATATGGCTCAGAGGCTTGGACGATGACCAAAAGGGATGAGATGAAGCTGAGTGTCTTTGAGCGAGGAGTCCTCAGAAGGATTTATGGTCCAGTAAAGGAGGGTGATGTCTGGAGGAAAAGAAAAAATAGGGAGCTCAGTTCTCTCTATGCAGACATCGACGTAGTCACGTATATTAAACTGGCCAGACTAAGGTGGGCAGGGCATGTGGCCAGAATGAGCACCCTTGAAATACCAAAAAAAAATAATGATGGAGGAGCTGCACCTCGTAAGACGGGTAGGAAGGCCGAGGACGAGATGGTTGGACAACGTGGCCTATGATGCGAGAACCCTGCTTGGTGTGCGGAACTGGAGAGCTGCAGCAGAAGACAGAGCCAACTGGCGGAGGCTCTTGGAGGAGGCCCAGTCGGGATGTTGTGCCATACATGAATGAATGAAGTATTTTGATTATTAATAATTGATTTGCAATGATATCATCATGTGATCATATGTTATGAAAATAAATTGTTAATATTTTAAAACCTAAAAATATTTGAATTTTAAAAAAACAGACTATGGAAATTGGGAAATTTTATCCATCCTAAGGAAATGTACTTCATATTTACTTAAAAATCTTGGGAAATTGATATCTAGGAAAATTTAAACATATGTAATAATTGGTTGTTGGCAGATACCGATATATGGGACAAAATCTATTTGCCTGGAGCTACAGTGTGTGTTTAAAACTACCCGTCTATTACATAAACTTTTAAAAATACGTAGATATAAATTTCCCTACCAATCTACCAAGATATTTAAGTAGATATGGAATTACATTCCCTTAGAATGGATAAAATATCCTAAATTCTGTAGTCTGGTATTTTTTAATTTAAATATTTGTTTTATTTCTATTAAAGTCTGTTTAAACACCCATGTTGTGTTTTATCATGCAATTTTATATCTAAATCTAATCATATGTATATATATAAAATGCTTGGGGTCAGTGAGTTAAGTGCTTATAATAAGTAATAAATTTCAAGAAACATGGGAGTAAGAGAAGTACTCCATAAAGAAGGATGAATACCTGCCAGAGAAAGACATGCAGTCCATGATTCTCCAAGCAATGAAATCCTCCCTCTCAGGTATGTCAAGCCTGTCACCCTATACTTCTAGATCAAGAATGCGGAGGAGTATGTTCATACCCTGAACCTAAATCACGAATTACACTATGGATACCCAGGAGGTTTAACAGATTTCTATTGGTTTGGTACATGAGGCTAAATTAAGCTTACTAATTTATTCTGCTATAAAGGAAGAAATATTGGTCCTTACGCACCTGATGATCATAATCAGTTATACTCCTTGGATCTTGACCAATTTGTTCTGTCCTTGAACCCATGGATTTAGTGGGAAGGACATAATCAATCCCACATTGTTACCAAAACTGAAGTTTATGATTTAGAAAAAAACATCTGCTAAGTAAATCAGTATAGTATAGCTTCCTTATCATTTTTATTCACTAAACTATGAGAAACAGTTTTAGTGAATATTGACATGTTTCAGAAAGTTACCCCTTTTTTATCTCTGCCTTTAGACATTTACCATCTGGGATAATTTTTTTCCTTTTAATTGTATGGAATTAAAAACCAATGACATGCATTTAAATGTATTTCTACTAGGCGTGTAAATATGTAACCAGAATTTTCGTATAAAAAAATTGTCTAAACAAATATTGTTAAATAAGATTTTATTCAAAATATTGTCCATCGCTATACATTTTCCCCATCTCTCTGGCAAATTTGGAATAACATGCCAGAAAAACTTCTCTTTCTGCTGAGCGAGTGCATGCCCCATCGATGCAAATAAATTGTTGGAATGAGCCAAGCTCAGTTGATTTTAAAATTCAATTTTATTTTGTTAAGTAAGCATTAATGAAAGAATTTAACCAATTTTCATCTGTTTTCTAAAGAGATAGAATGAGAAGCAACCTTAGTGATAGAAATTTCTGCTCATACATTTATTTCTTAATTATCAATCATGGTTTTCCAAAAAGGATTATTTTTTCCTGATACTAACTTAATTATTTTTTCACATTATTTCATGGAACACTAATAAATTGATTTTGAATAACCTAATTATTGTATTCCAATATTATTTTCTCTTGTACATATACTACTGAAGTAAAATAATGACAAAGTTATACTGATGATAAACATATTTTTATAGTATAAAGTGGTATTTCCATCAATACTGACTATGATATTAATTTATCCAGTAATGAAAAATACAAATACACCACAGAAAATTAATAATTACTATAATTCTAACTTAAAGGTATTATTAAGCATCCAGGATACATGCATCTTCAGTGTGAAAGGGGGCTTATGTGAATTTCAACCTTATTTATCAATACAAAAATACCTTATTCGCATGAAAATGACAAAACCGTTTTTTATCATTTATATGAACACTAAGTGGACGATATTCTGATTTCACAGGAGTAAAATTCTTTGATGGTGATTTAAGGTTATGAAATGTCACTTAATGACTTTTTGCAATAAACCGATATGATGAAATTTTTGCATGCTATTACATCTCACATTATGTATGATATAATTTATCCTACGATATATGATATAATATATCCTAAGGATTATCAGACTTTAAAAAATAAATCAAAAACCTGTCAATATTATGCTTCTAATTAAATAAAATCTGGCACTGTGCGTGCATCACACAATTTTGACTTACCAACCTCCGAGTAGATATTTTCATATATAGGGAAGTCAAAGTAAAAACGATGTTCTAACTTTATTTAAAACAATTAACTACCCTGTTTTTCCTGTCCATCGAATCTGTTAAATATTTATACGTTTGCATCACTTTTCATTTCATTTTAAGACTATAGTACCAAACAATACTAATGAATGTGGGGAAAAATAGATCTTTTCTAAAAATTCTGAGTTGATTTGGAAACATTTATCATGAAACTTGTCGAAAAATATGTAGAAAGTTACGGAGAAGCAATGTATAGAAGTTAAAATATGAAAGTCCTCAACAGAGGAGTATCGGGTATCCGAAAAGAAGGATCAGTCAGCAAAGGTTCCGCTATTTCCGCATAGGTTCTAACCCTAATTTATCCTTTTGTTACTAATCAATTTGCTTCATTCATTATATTTAACCATTTTCTATATAAATGTCTAATGTGAAATGGATTATTATTATTAATACAAAAAATTTAAGGTACTGCATTTATGGCATTTAAACCCTGTTGGAGAACATCAATGAGAATAAAACTTACATTATATTAAAATCCGCTTAACTTTACACTGAGATAATAAATTTTATCAAAATCCTATGAGCCATTTTTGAGAAAATTGTAAAAATCTGTAAGATCTATGGTAGAAAGAGGCACCTCTGGTTAGTCGATTTTGATGAGATAGTTGCTGTAACATCTCAAGCATGTCAAAACTTTAAATATTCCTTTCCAGTGGCGTAGGACTTTTCATTTTTGAGCTTCACTGTTCACACACAGACCATTTTGTGAGACTATATTATTTGGACTCAGAGGACCTCAAAACATGTATTTCTGTTGAAAATTTTCACAATCACAATACTTACATACACTGACAGGCAACAAATTCCACCCACTTGATTTTTCCATGTTTTCATCTATAAATATTTCTGTAAACTTGTATTTGTATATAATACATGGTATTTGTAGATAATACTTAGTATTTATGGAATTTTATAATCTTTTTTACCTTTAATAATCAAAATGTGATTGGGTAAGAAAGATTAGAAAAAAAAATTGAAAAACGAACCATTATTATTCTAAAAGAAATTAATTACATCATCGTTTAGTAGCGCATGTTTCCTCCTCTTGCCTTCACTACTTCTTGAAGACGCCTCGGCATACTTTCCACCAGTCGGGAAATGTACCTTTGCTGGAGGATAGCCCATTCCTCCCGAAGAGCCCTTTCAAGGTCCTGCAGTGTATCAGGAAGTGTTGCACGCGCTCTTATTCGTCTTCCGAGGTTATCCCATAAATGCTCAATGGGGTTCAAATCTGGAGAACATGCTGGCCAGGCTAAAACCTCAATATTGTTCTGTTGAAGGAACATCTGCACTATGTGGGCGTGCATTAGAATAGAACGATCGCCGATTTCGTTGAGGATAGGCAACACATGAGGTTCCAAAATCTCATCTACATGGCGAATGGCCGTCAAAGATCCTCCACGAACAACACCCAATTCTGTGCGGCGCTCCATTGAAATCCCAGCCCACACCATTAAGGAACCACGTTGGAAAGGTTGGCTCTGGGAAAAATTACAGGCTGCATATCTTTTGTTTCTTATTCTCCACACCCTTTCACGCCCGTCTGGAGATTGAATAGCGAATCTTGACTCATCTGTAAAAAGTACAGCACTCCATTCGTCCATAGTCCAATGGCTGTGTTCTCGAGCAAAAGCCAGCCGTATTACTCTGTGAGTTCTGGTCCTCTTATTGGACGAAAAGCCATTAATCTATACTGATTTAATCCTCTCCGAGCGGTATGTTCTGAAATTTGCACACCTCGAACTTCATCGAGCTGATGAATTGCTTGAACAACGGTAAGGTGCCGGTTTCGTAAAATTCTCAAAGTCAAAAACCGGTCATCCCGTGGTTCTGTTACCCAAGGCCGTCCAGAACCGGGCCTTCTATTGTAAAAACCAGCTTCCCGAAAACGCCTGACAGCATCTCGTAAAGTTTCATATGGAACTCCGATGGCATTAGCTGCATATCTAATGGAACGTCCATCATCAATAAGTGCCACACCACGCGCAACATCCTCAGCACTAGAAGGTATTTTTAAACTTAATATTGAAAAAATTAAAAGCCGGAGACTAAGAAATGTGCTGCAAGAAACGGCACTGAACTAATGATACTGAATAAACATTTTGATTCCATAGAAACTTTCTATGGACTTTCTATTAGAAAGTAAAGATTGGAATCTAGAATCATTTAATTTAATTAAGGATTAAGGGTATTGTCCTCTATATTAACATTCCTAATTGAAAACAAACAAAAAGATTACCTATTTATTCATTAAAAACAATAGACCAATCAAAAGCAGAAATATTTTTAGATGAAAACATGAAAAAATCAAGTGAGTGGAATTTTTTGCCTGTCAGTGTATATAGGTAAGTGAGAATAGGTGTGGGGTGGCTGAATGGGCTAACACGTGTGCACAGCACCAAGAGTTGACCAGCAACCAGATAACCGAAGTCATGAGATGAAATCCCGGTGTTGGAAGGGATTTTAAATTCCCCTGGCCTGTTAAAATCCAGTATAGCCTAAAATGCGAGGTAGAAAAGAACCAGAAAAAAAATTTTAAAACAGTTACTGAGAATAAAAATGTATGGTAGGTAACAGAAGAAATATAACATAACATTGATTATAGTAAAAATAACAATTATTTTATTATTTAAGTTATAAAATACTGATAATAATAAAAAACAAATAATTCAATTTAAGTTACAATTTTTTGACTTCACAAACAGAGTACATATACATATCTACAAAATATAGATATAATATTTACATAACTTACACTTCACCATATAAACTTAACATCTATTAACAATAAATCAGACTGTATTTAGAAAATATACCAGAAGCCAAATAAATAATTATAAAATTATTTTGGTCCAAGCATTTCCTCGGGTTTTACATATTTATCAAACTCTTCTGCAGTGAGAATTTTAAGTTTGATTGCTGTTTCCTTGAGAGTGGACTTATCTTTATGGGCAGTTTTGGCGATTTTGGCAGCCTAAAACAAAGATTTTTTTATTGATAAATAAATGGATCACAACTTTTAGAAAATTGTATGTGGATTGAAAATTAAGTTTTTTCTTTTTTACCATTGATTATAATTATATTTTTCATTTTTGACAAAAAATAGAGAAACCAAGTCACTATTAATGAATATATACAAATATCAAGGTAAATAAGGAAAATCGTTGGAAAAACACTGGAAGATTACTATTTGGCAAATTGCCATTTTTTTTTTTTTTTTTTGTTGCAAATATTAAGAAAGGTATATAAAGAACAACTGACTCAGAAGATTAAAGTGATTTTACAGCAGAAAAGCATTGTTAAAATAAACTAAGAGATGCTGCTTAACATTTTGAAATTAACCTTGATGTCGACCTGAGCAAATTAAAAAGCAAAAGGGAAATACAGTAAGTAAGAAGCTCTTATCACAAACTTAATCATAAAGTTTCTTGCCAATCAACTTTAAGATAAAGAGTACAATAATTGAAAGTCCATGAAAATTTCAGCTTCGTATGAGAAATAATGGCTGAAGATAAACTATATAAAAAAAAAAAAAGTGAACATCTAATTGTTCTATAGATAATAAAACCATCGAACTTAATAATGAAACATGGGAGAAATTTAAATATCAAAATTAATTCAATAAAAACGAAGGCATCCATGAGGAGAATGAAAAACAAGATAAATGCTAAAATTTAGTTTTCAGGGAATAAGCCCTGGATAGAGAAAAAACATTAGTAGATATACCATCTGATTACTAAGTTTTTTGTTTATGTTAAAGATGGCATTCTACTTAAACCTTTAATTTTTTATGTATGTATGACTAAAACATAAATTATCAAGGTAGATGGCTATAAAATGAAAATTTTGTTGAGTAATATATTATTAATGTTACATGAAAAAGAAGTTACTTTTATTTAATTAAAAAAAAAAAAAAATGCATCAACTACATTAGTATATCAATTTAAATATGTACTAATCAGAAGATGAACTTACAATGATAAATGATATAATATCAATTAACAATTTATTATTCTTACCTTATCGTAACCGATATGAGGATTAAGGGCTGTGACCAACATAAGAGATTCATGCAACAATTTGTCAATTCTTTCAGTATTAGCTTTAATGCCAATTACGCAGTTCTCTGTAAATGATTTACAAGAATCTCCAAGCAATCTGATAGACCTCAAAACATTGGCAACCATCACTGGTTTGAATACGTTGAGTTCAAAGTGCCCATTTGAACCTCCGATAGAAACAGCAACGTGGTTTCCCATAACCTGAGCAGCAACCATAGTGATTGCTTCACATTGTGTTGGATTTACTTTTCCTAAAGCAATTACATAGGTTTTAAAAAGAGAAAATATAATTTAAATTATACCATGCACAGATTTTAGACATTTATTTTTGTTTAATTCAGGCAGTAAGAACTGCAAAATAAAGTAAACATCACAACATGAGTATTAGCTATAAAGTAAATTTATACATTAATGACATTAATTTTTAATACAATTTTATTTTTATTGATAATTATTAAAATATTATTTTTTGTTTCCTCACCATTATGTGAATAATAATATAATTTTTTTTTTTTCGAAAATGGCCACTCCTCCGAAGAAAAAATACATATCTTGAAATACGAGTAATTGTATAACCAGTGGCAGTAAGTAAAAAGTGATAAAGCTATATTGGCTTTACTTGGCAGACGTTATTTTTCTTCCCATCAACCTCTTCATTATTCTTTAATCTTTTAAAGACAATTGACTCAAATATGAGTCGAGAGAGAACAGGACTCAGGTGACAGTGGACTCATATATGAATCAAGAAAGGATGGTGGACTCACATTTGGGTCGAGAGCCTGTCAGGCTCTTTCTCGTTAGTTAAATGATGGGGTGCTCAGTGATAAATTTTACTTTTAAAACTATCTCTTAAGCCTAGTACACACTAATAGACAATGTTGGGTGATTTGTCTAGAGACGGTCTCGAGAAACAGTTGCTTCGTCTAGCATCCACACTACAATGTTGTGAATTTCTCAGTCTCATCTTCTCAGAATAAATTTAAAGTATATTGTTTCACATTTTTTACTTCCATTCTCAGTAATATAATAACATATTTCACTATTTTTTTATTTTTTTTATTTATTTTTTTTTTTTTTAAGAGACATGACAAAAACACTAAACAGTTTTTAGTTTTTCACTAATTCAATTGAATAAAAAATAAAGGTTTAAATGAAAATATATATTAATTCTATAAAATAAAGAAGTTTAAAATGATGAGGTAGAGATGATGAAAAGTATTCTGTTATAGGGGCACAAAGTGTCGGCTACCATCCTCAAGGCCACTCCAACATTCCCACTCATCATTGCTAAAAGGTTAATTTAAAGTCAATTATCTGAGACTGATAGGATTCCGAGTAAAAGACATTAAGATAATTAACCTAAGGTAAATGGTGCTGTAAAACGGAGTAGTTCTACAGAAACAAGGATTACACTATATACATTTTTCAAGATAATTAATTTTTAATTACCGGTAATTATATCATATTTCAGCTGAAATAACCTTTTTAAAGCTAATTAATAATAAAAAATAGAGAAATTCATTATACCAGGCATGATACTGGATCCTGGTTCATTTTCAGGAAGGATCAGCTCTCCAAGTCCACAACGGGGGCCTGAAGCGAGGAATCTAATATCATTAGCGACCTTCATGACACTGACAGCAACGGTATTCAAAGCACCCGATACCTCAACCATGGCATCATGGGCTGCTAAGGCCTCAAACTTGTTTGGAGCAGTCACAAATGGCAGTCCTAAAAAAAAAAAATTAATATCATAAAAAAAGATATTTTAAAAATTGCTTATGTATATATATATATATATTTCCAATAAATATTTTTAATATATATTTTTTAAGAGTAACTTGAATTTCAAATGTTAAAATGTTTATTAAGATAAGAATGGTATTTAAGTTGGGTAAAAAGTTGATTTATCAAGTCTGATGTAACACAGCTGAATATGATGCGCTAGAGGCCTGTAACCGATAAATTAAAAATGAGTTAGAATTCACCAAGAAATTCATTCATAAAAGTATCTTGAACACAATAAAACTTATCAACAGCACAATTAATACAAAAAAAAAAATCAGATAATGCAGTTGATTTGACCATCAAATATTTTTTTCATCTATCTAACTCATAGTTAATTTTTTTAAGACAAATCAATAACAGTACCTATGTAGTGAAGAGAGATGACACTACAGATAGAGAAAAAAAATAAATAGCAGAATCTTAGCTACTAACAGAATATCTCTTACTTTGGTATAAGAAATTATTAAAGAATCAAAAGTAGCTTGAAAAGCAAAAAAAATTCTGAACAAACCTTAATCCTTCAAGTGCAAATCTTTATCATCTCAAAGCTTTTTCATTATAATGAAAAAAATCATAATCAAAAAGTCCAATAATTTTTCTAGTTATTTTAATATTGGAACAACAATAGAAGGCTTAAATGAGCAGACTCTATTGTAAAGATGAATAAAAAAAGAGCCATTAAGCCTGCACAAATGTTACAAGAGCTTATGTTTTGCATGATGATAAAATAACTTCAGTAATATTTTTTTCTTAATTTTATGAGGGCAAATTAAGAGATACTCTTTAAGTGAGTGGAAATCTCACAGTAAGGTTCCAATTAAAACAGCAATTACTTAACAATAACTAATAATATAAATTAATACCTCCATAAAACAAGGTAATATAATTGCGTATGAACATGATCGACAATACTCAGCTATTTAAAGTACTACATCAATAATCAATAATGCGAACCAGGACTTCAATTTTTATCAAAATCTATGCCAAGTAGATACGTAGAATCCAATTATCCAACAGATATAAATTGAATCCAATATTTCTTTATTCATTGAATTCCAATCAATAATACCTAGTGTTTATATTTAAAACAGATTGTCTAGAAATTAATTGGAATAAAGATATTTGTATTTAAACTAGATTAATACCAGTGAGCTCTGCGATCTTAGCAGCAGATTTTTCTGCGAATCCAATCCTTGTATTGAGACCAGTACCGACTGCTGTGCCTCCAAGTGCAAGTTGATATAACCTTGGAAGAGTATCCTTTATTCGACAAATGCCATAAGCAATTTGAGTTGTGTACCCACTAAATTCTTGTCCAAGGGTAAGGGGCACAGCATCCTACATCAGTATAAAGGCATTAGGATGTTGGGGCAAAATCATAAGAATTAAACTTATAAACGGTAATATAACAGTCATTAATGATATTAAATAATCAAAAAAATTAAGTATAGAAAATTTTTTTTTCATTAATACTAAAAAAGATAGGCGAATAGTTATAAACGTGATAAAACAGGTACCTGAGTATGTGTTCTTCCAATTTTAATGATTTTTTCAAATTCTTTGGACTTGCATTCCAATGCATCATGAAAAAGTTGTAGATTTGGAAGCAGACCACAATGAATTTCAATAGCAGTTGCAATGTGCATTGCAGTTGGAAAGGTATCATTAGAGCTCTGAGATTTGTTGACATGATCATTAGGGTGAACAGGTTTCTTAGATCCTAGTTCTCCACCAAGTATCTGGATAGCACGGTTGCTGATAACCTGGATAAGTATAAGATATTTAAAAAAAAAAAAGATAGTTAAATTAAAGATTAATTTGTTATAAATATACATCTCGAGCATACCTCATTGGTATTCATATTAGACTGTGTACCAGATCCCGTTTGCCAGATGACTAATGGAAAATGTTCGTGATATAAGTCTCCAGATATAACATCATCACATGCTTTTGATATAGCATCTGCAACTTTGCTATCTAAACCATACTCTTTATTTACTTCAGCTGCAGCTTTCTTCAAAATGCCCATGGCTTTTATGACAGGTAACTGTTGGCAACCATTATTCTTGAAATTTCATATTAAATTTATATAACAAAGTTTAATATATATTTTAATATAAACTCACAGGCATTCTTTCTGTGTGATCGCCAATTGGAAAATTCATCATTGACCTCATCGTCTGAGCTCCATACAATTTATCAGCTGGAACCTTCAGTTCACCAAAGGTGTCCGATTCAATCCTAAATTCTCCTTCTGATCTCTGAACAGAAGAAGTAAATTAATGTTTACCCCAAAAACTTATAAGTATAATTTTAATGTAATAATTTATTGATGAAATCAGGTATATGTACCATTTTAATGAGCTATTTCTTTCTAAAAGCTGAAAGACAATCGTGTCAGCAATTTAATACTAAAATTTATAGGTTTTGAGGTTATAAAGTAAAAAAATTACAACACTTTTCCTTATATAATGTAAACGACCAAGAAAAACTGCAATTCCAATCGACACTTCTTACAAAACACATTTTGATTTTGTTAAGATATATTTTTAGAATTTTAACAAAATTTAAACTTGGCTCGATTACATAGCATGCATAATGGCAAAGAAAATGAAAAAGTCATATGTAAATTTAATACTATGGGACAAATGTCAAAATAATATTTTTTTTTTAATAGAGAGCTAATTACTTATGATTAAATTAGAATGAAAATACAGTTAAATAATTGTTTAATAAATTCTAGCGAAAAATAAGTATTCAATTTTGCTTTTGATCAAGTTAAAGAACTCAGAATCTTTTTACAAAATCTAAACTAAATAATGATCTTCTGAGAATAATTTATGACAAAGTTAAAACAAATATTAATAAAAGATACATATAAATGTGCAAGATATATATGAATATCACCACATATCTAAGAACCGAATTGAAGGCAACTTGTATTTAAATAAACACAATACAGTGAATATTATAATACATTATAATGTACCATTCTTCTTCAATAGTAACTAAATATAATAATAGTCTGATGGGTTAAAACTACACAGCAAGAGAATAAGTTGCTTACCATGACTGCTGTGGTGGAAAGCTTACAAATAACTGGCTTCATTGAAGGAGTGAGGCCTTTAAAATGTTTTGCTCCCCTCCTTCCATGACGGGAAAGTTGCTTTATCAAAAGAGCCATCCTCGAAAATTAAGTAGAGAATAGCCAATATTGCTGAAGTTTCGAGCAGGTTAAATTAGGAAAGGAAGGTTGTAAAGATGGACTAGTTCCAAGTATACTGAGCGCCAGAATTCAAATCACAAAAAATGAAATAATTCTACATTTCCTAATCTCAATACGATACATATGGTTCACAAAATTATTTTATATACTCCTTTCTTTTTGTATCAATAATGACTTAATAGTATATGCACAGATTCATAATCTTTGGCGTTTTATTCTTTTAATCTTGCCTGTCTCTACAGATTTAGCCATAGTCATGTTCAGTGAATTTATTCATGGAAGTCATTTTACCAAATTTTTAAATGAAACAGTAAAGACTTTAAAATAGATACACTCCGTCGCACGAATCTGAAAAAATAAAAATAAAAAAGTGACTACATACGCAAAGTAAGTAAATTACAACGAACTATGATAACAAAATTGAGTTTGACGTAACAATTTGAGGTTACAGGTGAAACTTTTTAGTTATCAGTTTTTGGCGCGGTTAAAAACATTAGTTTTTTTATTCACGCTTGAACGTTTAAATTATATAAATAATAAAAAAACGAATCATTGATATTTAAAATAGTAAATATTTGGCTCAGGAATAAATTTTAAATATAGTTCAATATATTCTATCATCATCATCGATTATCTTAGGTAAATGAGCAACTCTAAGAAAATCGTAAATGATTATTTTTGCTATAATGGTTTGTATCTATATCCTCAATTTTATTGCAAATTGGATGTGATGATCCAGAAGTTTTAACTTAAATAATTACTTATACCAGAGAAACAATTACAAATATTTCTTGCTCCTCATATGATTATGCCCATCGGCATAAACATCGTAGATATTAGCAGATGTACAACGTCATCCCATTGGAAAATGAGACCAAAGCATAAACTTATAAAACATCCTAATTCTGTTTAAAGGGCTTCATATTTCTCAACAACAGTAGAATTTAGTTACCATATTTATTATGATGATTAATAATAATACATTATCATCACTAGCGGATTCAAGTGGTGCTTTCGAACTTGAAATCCTCAAACTAAAAAATTTTAATATTTTTTATTTTTAACATCATTATTTTTTCTTTCACTTATCTATTCAGGGTACCCCGTAAGTAGAGGGAAATATTTAAAAGATTGATAGGAGACATCAAGATCTACAAAAAAGTTAATATAAACAAGTGCCCAATTTCCAGCAGAAGAAAGGAAATTTAAGATTAGTGTTTTTTATAAGGGAATCACGTTTTTGCTGAATAAGAAGCGATAACTTAAACAATATTTGATTTAAGTAATTAAACATTGCTCCATAAACTCGATAAAATTTAATTTAAAGGAAAGCCGAGTTTATCATTGTTAAAAATATTTAAAGAGGACTATTGAGCATTAAAGATCATTAATATGCTTAAAGTCTATATTAATTAAGTTGAAGTTTATTACAGGAAAATTTTTGAGATTCACTTCCATTTGTTAAGAGAAATGATGTGATTTTCTATCCAGTCACCTTAAAGTACCCTCGTTTTCTGCAAAAATTACTAGAATTAACTATTGCAATGCTTTTATTCCTTGTTTTTTCCGTGACATGGAATGTATTATAATATAAATAATTGTCTAAAAACACATTTTATTCATAAAAATAAAAAATTTAAAAATGAAGATTTTTACATACATGAATTGCGCTTTTCTTCCAGACTTCTGTCATTGGAATTAAATGAAGTATTTATCAGTGACAAACTTAATGTTTCTTACTAAAATTTACTTTTGAAATAAAAAAAAAACCTACTGATTGCTTCAATTATTTTCATGAAAACGTAAAAATTAGGACTAGAAACATTAAATTTGTCGCTTATAAATACGCACCGATTCTAAGACAGAGATCTGGAAGGAAAACACCATTTCATAACCAGCTCATATAAAAAATATTTAAAAAATCGGTTTTTTTAATTTTTTTTCATTTTTATAAGTAAAATGTGTTTTAGGCAATTATGCTTATTATAATACATCCTATATCAAGAAAACAAAAAACAAGAAATGAAAGCTTCTAGTAATTTTTGCAGAATAAAAGGGTACTTTCAGGTGATTGGATAGAAAATCACATCATTTCTTTAAACAACTGGAAGTGAATCACAAAAAAATTCGTACTAAACATCTAATTAACTAATATGGACTTAAAGCTTATTAAACAAGGAATTTTTTCTAAAAGTGTAGTAACATGTAGTACAGTTGAAGGGCGATAAAAACGAAATCACAAATAATTTATGACCTTTTTTTACTTTCCTACCTATACTAGGTAAGGAAAGTATTGCAATCGGTTCAAATTTCCGACATGCGGTTTTCGACGGATCTATACGTTTCAGAGCTCTCTGAGTCCGGATACGCCGTTTAGCCAGTCGTTTCAAAGGTAATGAAATTTCCTACAAAGCCATATAAAAATCGTTCATTTTGAACAACCATTAACGAAGTTACAGCTATTCAATTTCCAATGTAAGATTACGGTTTCATATCCTGGTGTCAGAAAGGGGTGAATGAGAGAATAAAGATGACTAAGTGAAAGTAAGAAAATCTGTTGCCCGCATCACAAAATCTTCACTATTTCCTCTATTTTTAACAGAAATTATTGTTTAGCAATACTAAGCTATGGCAAAAAGTTTTTGATCAGCAATATTAGGAAGTATTGAAATTTTTACACTGATCTACCTTAAGCCGGTTTACATAGCTTCAGTTTCTCAAATAAATCGTACGCAAAGCTTATGTTTGATCAATTTTCAGGAAAATGTATCTAGTTCAATTCTTGTTTGTTTCTTCATGAACATATGTAAAGATATAAAAACTTTTCTGAAATAGGTAGGAACGTCGTGTGAGTGGACACACCAGATATTTTTTTATAACTTAGCTGTGTTTGTCCGCTGAATAGTACTTTCGTTTAAATTAAATTTTATATAATTTACTATGGAGCAATGTTTAATTACTTAAATAAAATATTTCTTAAATTACCGCTTCCTATTCAACAAAAACGTGACTCGCATAAAAAAAAACACAATCTTAAATTTCATACTTGTCTGCGGGATATTGGGCAATTGTTTATATTAACTTTTTTGTAGATCTTGATGTCTACTATTAACCTTTTAAATATTTCCCTCTACTTACGGGACACCCTGTATATAAAATATATAGTAAGAGTATTGTGATCGTGAAAATTTTCCCAGACAAGGCTTGCTCTTGTATTTGGGCAACACAAAACAGGAAGTGGAACTGAGGTTAGAAATAATTATGACGCTAGTCGTGCATGATGATCTAAGCTAATACTAAAAGGGATGAATTAAAAAGTAGAAAGCGGGTAGAAATATAACTTTTCAAAAGTATTCGATATTTTTACCTAAATTTGTTCCTGATTCAGGGCGACCGCCCCGAACATCCTGCCCACACGAAGGCTCTGATTGTACATATCTAAAATGTATTCATAAAGCCTAATACGCTTGAATTAAAAACCTTTGAAAATGGAGTTGGCTGATTTTGGAACTTTACACTTCACGTATGATGGTGTGAAGTTAAGATGTGAATTTTGTTTTATCAGGTCACCTAATATATGTTATAAATTTTATTTTAAATTTTAGTTGTATGTTGTTTAGGTATTGCAATTTACAAAAAGACAGTTACATGTCTTGTTAGCATATTTATAATTATAATTAATTTCGAAAGTTGAAGTGATAACATTTTTTTTTAAAGCATCTATGTCTTAATATTTCATAAAAAAAATCATTTGTTCTAATATATTACTTCATTAATTAATGATTCCTTGAAAATAAGAATTCTCTAAGACACGTTTTTATGAGGAGAAGCTGGTACTTTCAATGAAAATCAATAAAGCCAAGTTGACACAACTGATGAGCGATTATCCGTATACAAAGACATGACCTGCTTTTAAATATGTTTGTATACCTTCATTAATTCTATTAACGTTGGAGAATATGTCTCTTTTTTTCTGCAAATAGATTTAGTTAATAGGCACGGGTTAATTATTTTATGAAATGTTTTCCTGTTATCACTGTGTATATCGTAAATCATAAAATTATTTTTTTTTAAATATAGGGTTTTAGAAAAAAAAGTTGGGAGTTTATGATATATTTTTTTTTATTTTCCATTTTGGTCAGTCAGATTCTCTCTTCTTTCTCTTAAATGAACTCTTCTTTCATTCCGCCCAAATATATACAAAATAATACATAATATTAAATGTAACTACACTTCCGTTGAATTTATATTATTTCGAAATAGATTAAACTGTGCTGAGGCTTTGGTTGTTAAAATTGTATCCTTCCTAACATTGGTATTTTTCTAAAAAAGGAACTTTTTCAACAAAGAGAAAACCCAGTTTGATTCGAGATGAGGTTTCATGGATAGTTTAATCGTTATGTTCAACTTAACTGTAATGAAAATTGAAATTGGCAAGACGTCGTCCAATCAGCCGAAGTCTTACAAAATAAGCTCTTCGAGATTTGGCCAATTTTGATCAGAAATAATGACTGAAAGTCTCCTTCTATTAGTAACGTCTACCTTGACCATAATGTCAAAAAAGAGAATTCGTGATTGGGTAGTCCACTCAATTAGAGATTGAACACTGTTTTGAGATCTAGTTACAAAGCTGCTTTTGTAGAAAAATTCTTTTTTTTATTAAAGCAGCAGTGGACTCGGTCGGTAAATCTTCTGGTACACATAAAAGCCATTAAAGTGTGGACATAACTCTTCAATCTGTTGGAAATTCCTGGTCAAATCAACTCCTCATATAAGGACCATTTCATATTGAAAAATTCTGAGAAGATGCGACAGATATTTGACTATTCTGAGAGTAGCTTGTAAATTTGTATCCTCTGTAAGATAATGGTAAAGCAAAAAAAAAAAAAAACCGCGCGTCTTCAAATGTGTGAAATGGCGATTTAAAACTTCGAATTTGAACAAATTTCCCGAGCTTCGGAACTCGAATTTATGAGCTTGCATGATAAATTTATTTTTTAGTATTTAATAAATGAAATATACTCTTATCAATTGTTGGTAAAATTTGGGTAATAATGTAGGAAATTGACCGAATTCGGAAATGAAGCGTAGCATTTACCATAAATGAGTTGTTTATATTTCACTTATATAGTTCAGATCTGTCAAAAATTAA